GTTGCCAAAAGCTATGTGTGGCTGGCAGTCAGTGTGAGTGGCCGGCAGCCTTTGTGAGCTGCCAAGAGCCACCGTGAGCAGCCGTCCAGAGGCTGGCGACTGATCTGCCTCACCTGGGAAGAGCACAATGATGGTGCCAACATGGGCCAGTGAAACGACGTTCTCCACAACTAGACTGAAGAACAAAAGGACAGCAACTTGTCTGTTCCCCTTTCCCCGATTCCCCAGCACTGTTCACCTCCCCCAATTCCCCAATAAAATCTTTAAAAAAAAAAAAGGACCTTGTGCTTTTGAAGTCCAGTGAAATAAAATCATATTACACTGTGCCATCATTGATAATTGTCACAGACACTTCTCCATTTGACAGAACATCTGAGGTATGAAAATTATAAGTCCAGATTGATATACTATTTATGCTTATATAAAATGGTGAATTAATTTTCTTAGTTATACTACTAAAAGATTCATTTTCACTTAAAGAACATTTAAAGCAGAAGATTTATTATTAAATTTTGCATCTAGAAAGTTTTTATGAAACACTGCAGACAGTGTGATTTAATAGTTATGCTAATTAACCACTTATCAAAAGGATCAATACTGAAAATCACTTTTAAGATAAAATTTATAATAATGGTCCCTTATAATTAAGGAGCTTTGATCACACTGTTTGTGGGAGTATAAATGGGAAAAATTTATTTTCAAAAACCATTTGGCCCTGAATTGTAAAGGTGAACATTTTTATTCCCAACTATCCAGTAATTTCACTTCTAGATATATACCCTAAAGAAACTTTTGTGTATATGCACCAAGAGATAGTACAAAAATAATTAATGAAATCATTGATTATAATAGGAAAAAATTGGAAACTCAAACATCCGTGGAAGAAAGATGAATACATAAATTATAGAATAGTGACACAGTGGAATAGTGTATAGTACTGAAAATGGTTGAATTATTTGCAACAACATGGAAGGATCTAGAAATATTTCACTCAATACAATAGTGAGTGAAAAAGCAAGTACCAGGGGACTATATACATTAAGACATCTTTTTTTAAAGCTCAAAACTAAAAAAATGTATTAGTGATGTAGACATATAATGTTATTTTTTTTAAAAGACAGAGGATGATGAAACACAAAATTCATGCTATTGGCTACTTCTGGAGAACAGGCAGAGAGGGTCAGATGGGGAAAAAACTCCTAGGCTGGTACAAAGATTGGTTACAGTCCATGTTTAGGTCAGGTGGTGGATTCATAAGTGTAATACTCATGGGTGTTGAGCTTCCTAACAAGACTTTCATGCATTCTTTAGTATGTATAGTTTAAAAGGCAATACAAATATAGGTATATATCTATAGAATATTAGTTAAAGAGTCATACTCAATACTCAGTACATATTTATACGCAGATGGCAGGAACAATTTAAGAATACAAATCAAACTGATAATTGTGAAATGTAAAAATGTGCACAGGCTGGGCTGGCTGAGTGGTGTGTTGGTTAAGAGCTGGCTTTGAACGCCAGAGGGCCCTGGTTCGGACCCCACATATGAGGGCCAGTGACACTGCCTTCTACAGCTAAGTTGCTGAACAACAGCTCAACCTGGAGCTGGGCTGCCATGAGTCGGCGATGGCGTAGGCTGCAGCCCCTGCTGCAGTGGGTTGCCATGGGCTACTGTGTGGGGCCAGCAGCCGCAGTGAGCGGCCATCCAGAAGCCGGCGACTGATCTGCCTCGCCCGGGAAGAGCGCAATGATGGTACCAACTTGGGCCAGTGAAGCAACATCCTCCACAACTAGACTGAAGAACAAAAGGACAGCAACTTGTCTGTTCCCCTCCCCCAATTCCCCAATAAAAATCTTAAAAAAAATAATGTGCACAGGCTTTCTATATGTATAAAAGGCTCATTTAAAATTTATTTCAGGGGATTTTTAAAATTATATTCATCATTCAGAGGCTCAGCTGGATAAGTCACTTTACCTTTGTAATAAGTGGTAAAACCAAAAAAAAGGAGGCTGTCATGGAATAACATTATACTGGAAAATAGATTTGTTATCAAACTGTTTTACAGATTTCCTAAACCCAAAAGCTACAACTTCTGAGAAATTTTATTTTTAAAAGCTATATTTTATGTTCTTTATATACTTGTAATGTTGGCATGAGTTAATTGCATAGTTGAATATGGTAATTACCTGGTAACTATTTATCACGATTATTGTATCTCATGAAAACCTAGGACTGCAATTAGCTCTCTGTTCATTACCATGTCACTTGTAATGGTAACGTATTCGTATAATATACATTCTAAGGCACTGTTTTTTCCCCTGTGAAATTCAGATAGTATTTTACTTTAGCAACAAATCTTTTAGGCTTTCATGTAGAGATGAAGGAGTTAACTTGCACTTGTCTTCTGCCCAGAAATATTCTCAATGGGTGAGGTAAATACTCATAGTGCTTGTCCCAAAGACCACTGTGGAATAAGAACCTGTGTGTTCGTTTTGAGATTTCTGTAACAGAGATCTATTGAAATGTTACTAGAGAAGTATAAAAATTAGACTAATCATCTCAGTATCACTGAGCAATCAGTGGATGTTAGGGTACTGAATTGGTGGTCAGAAGAACCGAGTTTGAGTTCCTAACTTCTTATTAATTGTGATATTCATTTACTATATCTGTGTCTCATTTTTCCTTATATTTATAAACAGAAATAAATAGCTACTCTTCCTCATAGGATTGATTGAGGATGGGAATAAGTTGATATACACGAAAAACCTTTATAATCTTAATGTGCAAATATTAGTTTGTCATTAGAAGGTCTTTTTTATTTCTCAAATATATTAAAATTCACAGCAAACTATATCAAAAAGCTTATTTAGGTCTTTCAAATTACTATGTAAAGTACATGAATTTCTTAATAGAAATAAGAAAATGCCCATAGGGTCTGTTTGAAAAATCGTTTTATTGATTTTCACACACGTGAACTACTTAGATGTAAATGTCAAACAAAGTCTATCTCCACAGAATCCTCAGGCTATCTAGATTTATTAGTCAAGTCAAGCCCTCCTTTTGTTATTTAACCTCCAGAGAGACCAGCGCGGTCTTTTCTTTATTTAGGTATGGTGGCAGCAGGGAAGTAATGCCTCTCATGATATCTGCTGCTATTATCAATACAATAATGTTGCTGGATGGGCCCCTAGGTTTGGAATTACACTTCTATTGCAGGGCCTACTTTGACTAGTAGTTCTGGAATCTTGATCAGGTTATTTGTAAGTTGCCTTTGTCATAGAGAAACAGATGCATGCACAGAGAGACGAATAATGCACCTAAGAGCCATTTGCTAACTTACAGTAAGAAATACCATAAACTCATCTTCATAACACTAATGCATTATTACCTTTGCTTTATAGTTTTTAAAGGCTTTTGAACTCGTTATCATATGATTTATGACTTTTGAACAGAATGACCTCATTTATTTCTAAATGGCTTCTCTATCAGGTGGAAAATACGGAAAAGTGCAAAGCAGAGCAGATCATATCTTAGTTGTCAAAATAAGATACTGTTAACAGTTTTTCCTGTTTCCTTCCTTTCTTTTCTATGCATGTTTATAGAATTGAGATCATATTGTATATGCCATTTAAATGTCAAAGTTTTCTTTTTTTTTTTCCTGGTTGTGATGGTAATCGATGCCTTTTATAAAAACTCTGAAAAAGTTGTAGAAAACAGGCAAAAGTCCAAAGCAGAAAATGAAAACCACATATAATTGACTACCGTAGTTAACCACTATGAGAATTTTGGTGTATTTCCTCCCAGGATTTTACTTTTTTATTTTTATTATTATTTTTAAAAACATAGTCGGAAGCATACCAAGGCAGGAGTGCTTGGGCGGCCTCTACTCTCTAGCCTAGCGGACCGGAAGGAGCAGATCAGCACTCTTCTTCCTGGACAGGGGTAGTGAGAGTGGATATTTTCCTTTAAAGCTCACTTGTTTCGTTTTCTAAGCTAGTTTGTATGTTCTCTTCTTTCCCCGAAATCTTCAAGGTCACTGACACCGGCCCATATTTCAACAAGTTATCCTTGGTGGCTTCCGGAAGCCCATGCTCTTCTCTGCGGCCGTTCACGTCTGTTTACAGGGAACCTCCCGCCCCTACTTCACCCTCTGCGATGCTTGAGGAAGTAGTAGCAGGCCGCTAGTCCGGAGATTTCAAACCGACTTGCAAACCTGAACAGCAGAGTCAGAGTCGCCCCGCGCGACTCCACTAGGTGTCTCTCTGTGTAAGGGCTGCGATTGGGTAAGGCCTTCGCGGCTAAGTCCCCTGCTCCAAGGACGCCGGCAGCTGGCCGAGGCCAGCCCACCCTCGCCCCTCCCGAGGTTATCATCAGAGCGCATTTCCAGGTGGCTCCGATTCTTCACATCCTGCTGTTCTCCGGAGGGTCTTTTCTCGTGGCGAGAACGCCCCAGGATCGCTCTTCACCTCTCGGGAGATCCGGGTAGGCCTCCGTCACCGAACACAACACCAGATGTCCGATCCCCGCCGCCTCGCTTTGCGAGCCGGGGGAAGTGCGTCCCTTTTCGCTTGCCTTATGCCGGGCGAGGCGGGGACCGCACTATTGTGCCAACTGCCGCGGGGGAGGGGGAGAGAGGGGGAGGACGCTCACGTGCTGCTCTCTGTTTTCCAGCTGGCAGCAGTAGCTCCCGGGAAACCAACGTTCAGACTACCAGGGTCAAGATTATATTGTCCTGGGACTCCGCACAGGAGGGAGGAACGACCATCCACTCGAGCTAGGCTGCGGACGCGCCCCTTTCCTCCCCTTTGATTCGCCTGGACCACTCGCGGCTGCCGGCGCGCCAGCGGCTGCCGAGCTTCCTCAGCCTTTGACAGCTCGACCTGAGCACCTCGCGGCCTGGAGTCTCGGCTCAAGGGGCGGGGCGCGGAGGGGCGGGGCGAGCGCGCGCGGGGCGGGGCGGGGTGAGCGCGTGTCTGAAGGCTGGGAGCGAGCTCGCGAGCTGAGCCCAGACAGCGGAGCAGGGAGGTGCTAGCGAGAGGCAGGCACAGCCCCGCCGGCTGCCTGCGGCTCAGCGCCGACTGTGCTGCGTCCCTGGGTTCTGCTTTCTCCCACCTCTGCTCAAGCTCCCGCAAAACTTTATTCTCTTGGGCCCTCCCCCCTGGGTGTCTGAAGGAATCGGAACACTCGGCCGGCTCTGCGCTCCCCTGCAGCAGCGGCGATCGAGAGACTTGAATCCCCTGCCCGCCGGGCTCTCGCGCCCCGCGCCTCCTCACCTGCTGATCGCTCCTCAGAGCGGCGAGTGGACATCCGCGGAGAGGCCGCGTGGGCGCCAGCGCCTTCGAACTCGCGCGCTCCCCGCGGCAGACCCGCCCGGCGCAACTTTAACTTGATTCCTCTCGCCCAGTTGGGGCACCGGCTGCTGCTGCTGCTGCTCCCCCCGCCGTCGCGGCCGCCGCCGCAGCCGCCGCCTCACAAAGGGGTGCAGGGAGCAGAGGCGGCGCAGGCGGCGGGCACCGGCGCCGGTGCGCAGGGCGCGGGCCTTTAGGTCGCCGAGGCCCGGAGACAAAAGGGAGACTGCCTGTGTTCGCAGACGGCTCCTCCGCCTCCTGCCCGGCTCCGTGAGCCTCCTCCCGCCCACCTCGGCTGCTTGCTCTGCCTTCCTTTCAGCGCGCCGTCCCTGCAGTGCTCTGGGACCCGGCAAGCCTTCGGGGCGCGCGTCGCTGCTGGTGTTCGGGCTCTAGCGATAATAAATGATAGAGGATACAATGACTTTGCTGTCTCTGCTGGGTCGCATCATGCGCTACTTCTTGCTGAGACCCGAGACGCTCTTCCTGCTGTGCATCAGCTTGGCGCTGTGGAGTTACTTCTTCCACACGGACGAGGTGAAGACCATCGTCAAGTCCAGCCGGGACGCGGTGAAGATGGTGAAGGGCAAGGTCGCTGAGATCATGCAGAACGATCGGCTCGGGGGGCTGGACGTTCTGGAGGCCGAGTTTTCTAAGACCTGGGAGTTCAAGAGCCACAACGTGGCCGTGTACTCCATCCAGGGCCGGAGGGACCACATGGAGGACCGATTCGAAGTTCTTACGGACCTTCCCAACAAGACTCACCCGTCCATCTTCGGGATCTTCGACGGGCACGGGGGCGAGGTAGGAATTCTCGGGGGCTGTGTGTGTGTGTGTGTGTGTGTGTGTGTGTAAACAACAGGACCTTGTGCGCGCGGCCGGGGAGGACTTGGGTGCGAGGGGCGTGGTGATGGCCTGGTGCCGGGCTGGACAAAGCCCCTACTTCCAAGTTGCCCCAAACAGTGCTGGATCCAGACCTCTTGGGACTGCGGGTCCATTGCTGGGGGGGGGGGCGGGGGGGAGGAGAGGGTCATCCGTAGCTTATTTTGTGCCTCCTAATTGATGAGGTTTCACAAGGCCAGAACCCAGCAAATGACTGTGCTCGTTTTGCCGGGAGAGTGAAGGGTTTCTAAAATGAACTTTGGCCCGGAGTCCCTGCGCCGGTTTTAGGGTTTGAGACCGAGCTAGGCACAAAGAAGGAAGAGAATATCTTTGATTCTCGTTAAGGAAAAGAGACACAAAATGCAGAGCCGAGTCAGTGAGGGCTTCGTGCGGATGAAGAAAGCCGTGACTCCTTCCCGTCACCTTCGCCCTGAGGAGGAACCCGCAGGGCAGCCCAGCGCTTCTTCCCAACTCCACTAACTTTGCAAGTGCAGTCGTTCCAGTTGACAGCACTTGCCTCGCTGGCCGCCTGCTTTTAGCTGGATCGTGGCGCGCCGGACGGGAGATGGCGCTGGCCTTTGCAGAGGTGGCGGTGCCTGCAGAGCGGCGGTGCCCAGGTCTCGCCCCTGCGCCCTGGCCGGCGTGGGGCGCAGACGCCTTCCGGCTTCTAAACGCCTTTATTTGAGGTTCATGTGGGAGCAAGAGATGAGATTAGAACGCCGGTTGCGGCACTCTGGTTGCGCCCCGGGGCCCCGATTTTCTGGAGGTCCGGGCGAGGATTGGCTCTGGTCCTTGGGCATCCGCCTAAGCGAAGTGACTGGCAAATGTGGCTCCAGCGCCGTGCTCCAAAGAGCACAAAGCCAGCAACTTCATCTCTCTCATTTTGGTCCCCTGCAGTTTCATTGCTGCATACTCTCCCCCCCCCTCGTCCTCCAGCATACATTCTTACTTATATCCCTCCTGCCTCCTTGCCACCCCTTCATCATCATTCCCCCCTTCCTCCACAACCCAGTGCCCCCCCCCGCCCAACTTTCCCCCCAACTCTCTTCTTGGCCCTTCTGGTCTCTGGGTGGGGATGCCATTCTCTGTCAAGCTTTGCTTGTTTTTTGGTATTTCTTCTGGGTGAATATTGAGTAAGCTTTCAACTGTTTATCTGCATTCTGCCTTTTATACAAGTCACTTAACCTACCACTTTGCTACTCTTCCTAAGATACTGTATCTACCCGCCTTGTAGAACCAACTTTGCCAGGAGTGACAAACTTAGTTGGAAAATTTATTTGGTAGACCTGAAATCAGTTTTTGCTATTTTCCATTCACCGTTGCCCTTTCTATGTTGTCTTTCAAAATGAAGTTTTCACTGGTTGTAAATTTGTAGTCTCCTGTGTAGTGTGGGTTCCTTTCCCCTAGGTTACAGGGTAGGTGAAAGATGTGAACTTAATTAAGGGAAGAGATACTATGTGCTTGGGTAAAAATATACCGGAATGACAAGGTTGTCAATATAATGACTGATTTGTTTTCTTGGCTTGAATCAGAATGTTTATATTTCATCTTATGTTCCTAGACTGTTATAAGTAATTTGATAAAGCTTATATTTGTTATATATTTTTAATTAAAGTTGTTGGCAGGTGATAATCTGCTCCTGGAGTTAGAAAGCACAGCTTTATTTTTAATTTAAATGTCTGGATGTAATGTTAATGTTGCGAAACTTTGGCTTATGCTTGTCTGGGTGTGCTGTATTGACATGTTTGAATTCTGCATGGGTATTTTAAACTTTCTTTTAAGTTGATATTCTAAAACCTGAAAGTTGCAGATCCAAATAGATTTCAGGTTGAAAAATTTCCAGTACTGTCTTCTGGTAAATATACTATTCAGAAAAGAGACAGGATAAATGCTTTTATTGAACTAGAAACATTTTAGCCTTTTCATTTATTTTTCAATAATAGAGGAGAAGATGATCATTGTTAGCGAAACTATGAAATGCTTTTCATTGTGTCTTTCATTTAAAAAGCCTGTGGTTAGAAAAATAATATTGTCCTGTGCCCTTAAACATAGAATAATTGTTCTATTACCTCGTAATGTATGTAGCTAGTTCATAATTTTGGCTTTGTTTTAGGGCAAAATAAGGAGTTATAAGAAGGAGTTATCTAGTTGCTATTGAGAATGCTATAATAACATAATATTAGGTAATTTTTCTCCTGCTTTTCTTTTATTTAAAGAAAATCCCACCATCTAATTCTTGTCTCTTGTGTTGTTTAACTCCTTTAACATTCACCAGAGGAGGGTGCCAGTGTTTGATTTTGGTACAGATGATGGTTATCATTTTTTTTAGAAAAGAGAAAGCTTTTAAAAAATTCTCTGCCTCTCTCTCTCTCTCTCTCTCTCTCTCTCTCTCTCTCTCTCTCTCTCTCTCTCTCTCTCTCTTTCTCCCTCCGTCCCTCCTGCTGTTTGTAGAGTGCTACAGAGGGTAAATGAGGAGTTAACTTTTATTTCTAATAATTCAAACTCATAAGATAGTTTGTAAAAACACCAGGACCCATCTACAATGGTAGTGCTTTGTATATTCAGAAGGGACCTAAGCCACCTTGTATATCCATTTTATCCCATTTTTAAGATGAGATGTTTATTGACAGCTGGAGAAGTTGTGGCCTTCCTAGACTACATGGCTAGTTCAAGGCCTTCAGTTTGGTGATCTTTATATTAAGTCACTATATAAATTAGTTTGCATATTTACCTAGAAAAGTAGCACACTAGGGATACAAAGGTGAATGAGACATGATTCTCATCCTCAAAAAGTTTCAGTGTAGTGCAAGAGATAGACCTGCATGCCAAAAATTACAGTCATAGCATGCTTAGGGTGGTATGGAAACTGAGGAGGGGTACTTAAATTAGACTGGGAGGTGGGAGGCCTGAGAAAGACACTTGGAAGGTACCATTTACTGCAAAGTTAAAGCATAGGTTCTGGCTTGAGATCTGGCTTTGCATTTCTGCTCCCTCTGCCTTATCCTAGCTGTGACCTTGGGCAAATTGCTTAAGCAACTTTATCTGGGAGCTTTTCATCGAAAAAATAGGAATAATAGTGCACATAAGCTGCACTCTCATCAGCTGTATTATACCTGATCTAGAGAAACACTTGGTAGAGAGAAAGATGTGGAAGAAGAAAGCTTAGAGATCAAGAAGACTGCAGTATTAGGGCAACAATATCTGAGAGAGAGAGAGAGAGAGAGACTCTCCATGTGAAAGACACAACTTTGATCACTAGAAAGGCGTATGTTGGATCTGGGTAATTCATTAGGTATCCCCAAACTCTCCATCTCTCTTTGTTCTAACTTCTGGTGAACTGATTATTAAATCAGTATTCCAGGCATCCTAGCATTAGGAAAGCAGCATCCTGGCTTCAGGTGCAAATATTTTGATTAGTGGAAAGAAATAGTCTCTGTAATTAATTAATAAATTGGTATTCTGATTTGCACTTCAGCCTCTTATGAGTTAGGTTAGCGTAAGTTAGTTCTCTGAGTCTCTCCAACTGTGTATTTTTGACAAAGATATCTTTGGACTTATTGTGCCAAGGACCAGACTCTGGATGGCTGTGACATGCATGAGATCTTAAAGAGCCTTGTCTCATTGGTCCTACGAGCCAGCTTCCTCACTTGATGCCCTTGGGCCCTTGAGATATTCTAACCCCAATACTATGGGTAGATGGTTCTCTCTCTCCTCTCTCTCTCTCTCTCTCTCTCTCTCTCTCTCTCTCCTTCCCTCCCTCCCTTCTTCCTGCCTCACTCTCTGTGTGTCTAAAGCTATTGCAGTGATTGTTTGCTGTATAACGAAAGATTAAAAACAGCAAAAAGGTTAAAAAAAAGCTCAGATTGCATTAACTGATGTGGAAAGATTATTTTGAAAATTGAAATATAATGCTTATGTTAAGAAAATGTTTTTTTTTGGGGGTGGTGGTGGTGCTTGTGTGTAATTTTTATCCACAGGCAAAAGTGGGCTTTTGTTTTGCTTTGTTTTGGTTTGTTTTTACTTTTTATATTATCTAGAAGAAATACCACCAATCCTTTGAAACAACTTTGTCAATGTTCATGGCTGAAACCTATGTAGAAGAACAGATTGGTATGTGTTCCATATGCTTTTGGACATTACTGTATTAAAGGTCATATATTATTGTATCATACAATTGACACCCAGCTTGACCAGTGGCTGAGCTTAGAGTTTTCACTTCACATCAGAGAGAAGCTGGCCTTCAAATGCTTGTCAGGGCCTACGGCCTTGAGGCTTAGCACTTTCCAGAAGTTCAGAAGAGAAACTGCATGGATTGCCTGAAGGAGCTATACAGTCAGTTCTTTAGAAGAATCAGTGGTTCTTAACTTTTCTTTTCTTTCTTTCTTTCTTTTTTTTTTAAATTGGGGAATTGGGGGGATGGGAACAGTGCTGGGGAATTAGGGGATGGGAACAGACAAGTTGCTGTCCTTTTGTTCTTCAGTCTAGTTGTGGAGGACGTTGCTTCACTGGCCCAAGTTGGCACCATCATTGCGCTCTACCCGGGCGAGGCAGATCAGTGGTAGGCTTCTGGAGGGCCGCTCACGCTGGCTGCTGGCTCCACACGGTAGCCCATGGCAACCCACTGCCACAGGGGCTGCAGCCTACGCCGTCGCCGGCAACTCATGGCAGCCCAGCTCCAGGTTGAGCTGTTGTTCAGCATCTTAGCTGTGGAGGGCAGGGTCACTGGCCCTCATATGTGGGATCCGAACCCCGGGCCCTTTGGAGTCCCAAGCCAGTTCTCAACCATCGCGCCACTCGGCCGGCCCAATTAACTTTTCTTGAGTAATGCTTCTCGTTGAGGATGTGGTGAACCTACAGACATATCCCTCAGAGAAGGGGGCATGTGAATCAAGTTTTGTTTATAATTTCAAAGATAAGTGAAT